CAAAATAAAACAGAATAAAAGGAAGTTAAAAATAAGGGAGCCACCTCACTAATTCCCCCATCCCCTGGGATCCCCAGGCCTGCTGGCATAACCAGGTCTTAAGGGACCTCCGGAAGCTCAACAATGACAAGGCCAACCTCACCCCAGAGGGGAGAAGATTCCACAGTGCAGGTGCCACAGCAGAAAAAGGCCGCTGTCTGGGGCCTGCCAAACGTATTTCCCTAGCGATGGAACCCGTAACATGCCCTCTCTGCTGGATCTGGTAGGATGGGCAGATGAAATCGGGGAGAGGCGGTCCCTCAAATAGCCCGGCCCCATGCCATGAAGGACTTTAAAGGTCAACACCAGCACCTTGAATTGGACCTAGAAACAAACCGGTAACCAATGCGGCTCATGAAGCAGAGGTGTAACGTGTGTTCTACTTGAAACATACATAACTGCTTGCGCCACTGCATTTTGCACCAGCTGAAGTTTCCAGATACTCTTCAAGGGCAGCCCCATGTAGAGTGCATTGAATTAATCCAACCGGGAGGTGACCAGGGCATGAGTGACTGTGAGTAGGTCCCTCTGATCTAGGAATGGGTGCAGCTGGCACACAATATGAAGTTGTGCGAAGGCCCTCCTAGCCACGACTGCCACCTGTTCTTCAACTGTCATCTCCCCGTTCCCAGATAACCAGGCAAAACTCCATCCTAGGCATCTCCCACAGACCTGCAGCAAAGCCAGCGTCCAACTGCGAACAAATCCGAATGATTTTATCTGACAGATGCTGAGCAAATTCTTTCACATGACCCTGCAAAAGGTTGTCCAGGCCCCCTGTACCCAAGAGGACCTGTATCACCCAAACAGGGCTGAGGGGCGGCAATCTGCAGATGCAATAAGGGCAGAGGAGTGCTGTCGCTTTGCCCCCCTTACCACCACTCGGTAGGCCTTAATAGCGGCTCTAACCCGTGTTCGGTTGAGTTCGTCCTTAGATGAGTGCCAGCGATGCTCTAGAATGTCTCTTCTCTCGTTTCATCTCCCTCAGCTCCTGCATAAACCATGGGGAGTGACAGGATCCACGGGAGGGGAGGGGTCACATAAGCGTAATCCGATCCAAAGCCTCAGCCGCCCTTTTATTCCAGGCAGCAATCAAGGCTTCAGATGGGCCGTGCAGCAGACCAGCAGGACCAGCCCCCAGCTCCCTCTGGAACCCCTCCGGCTCCATCAGTCACTGGGGGTGGACTAATCTAATGGGTCCAGCCTCCCTGCAGTGGATAACAGCGCCAGAGAATCCCATGGTAATCAGGGCATGATCTGACCATGATAAGGGGGACACCAACAACTCCTCCAATTGCAGATCACATAGCCATTGCTCCAACAGGAACACCAGTTCTGGTGTGTGACCGCTGTCCCATGTCGGGCTCTGGATGACCTGGGATAGGCCCATGGCCATCATGGTGGCCATGAACTTATCAGCCAAAGGAGAAAAAATCTGTAATTGTTTCCCAAGAGCGAACAGCCAAAGGGAAGCATTGTGGCGTAAGGGCTATATTTCAAGATTTTGTCTTGAACATAATTACATATCTGCATATCGTGTATGTGAGTCTCCAGTCCCTTTGGCCAGGAGACCTATTTGAAATGTTGAGTTCACATTGTAGATATTCTGGCTGCCATAGAAGGGGGTTTCCTCATTCTTAAAATGGCCACAGCAGGTTTATGGCCAGTCACAAAACAAAAAAGTCAGATGGGCAAAGACACCAAGCATGGGTCGATGTGCACTTTGGTCCCACAGTCATCAAATATAATTAATCCATAGTGTTCCTCTGCAAAATGTGAGTTCCAATGCAGTGCTGCTGATTTTGAACTAAAACCATACAGAGAGATTAAGCCGTGGCTCTTTTTCATAACATTTAAACCATAGGACAGGAAGGGGAAATTAAAATAGCAGTTTCATTGTTTCTGCTTACTGGAGCAGGTCTCTATAGTGTGGGTTATATAAATGTCTTAGCTTAGCGAACCAAGAAATTTAGAATATAGCAAAACATGTTACACAATTCAGAATTCCCTTTGGTGGAGCCTGAACCTGGAGAACACTTCAGTACTTTTAAGGCAGAAAAGGAAAAAAAAAATCTTGCCTTTCAACAAATACATTAACTTAGGGAAAATGGCAACAAAATGGAGGGAAACTGTTCCATCAGTTTTCAGTAGCCATGGTCAGATAATGATAAAGGGAGACTGGGGACTGTATATGGCCCTAAGCTTTCAGCTTGTACGTTTCTGGCCCAGAATTTTATCCTAAAGTATAGAAATAGTTATATGAGCCTTTAGATTCTGAACTTTGAGCAGGAATATACTGACACATCCACATAATATTTGATAGAGTAATAAAATTAGAGAGGATCTTTTAAGCCATCTTGTCCCCTAGATTTCCTAGCTGGAACGTTTGTTGGAGATTCTGTACTTATTTTACTAGTATTTAATTATCTAGTTAACGTTTCTGTTGTTTGCAACCTCAGGCGACCACTCTGACACCAGGCTCAACAATCCAGAATGCTGAATCCTAGGTTGCCATTTATCTAACCTTTTAAATGAGCTGATTACTAATGAATGAGCTAACTGAGTCATCAAACCATCCGGAGCTTCAGCTGGTGAGGACATGGTCTTCAAATGGTCCTGTACCAGTCTTGCTGCCATATAGTGCATCGGTTGTTTACCTGAGCACTTTGATTATGATATCTCATCTTCCTTTTTGGGACATAACTGGACACAGTATTTGAAGAAAGCATTTGTGAAACTGTAGGAAAGCAGACATTAACTGGCATCCTGTGTAATATATAAACACAAACATTTTTGATCTTGCAAAAATATTACATAAAAATTATCCGAGCAGAGGGGAGGGAGGGAGAGACAAGCATCTGACAACTCTATATGGCCATATACAGATCTAGCTCAAAAAGCCATTATAATCAGATAGTTCATGTACTGAAAATGGATGCTGAACCAAAAACTTACCAAGAGAAAAATCATGATTCTTCACTGAGTTGTGAATCTTTGACAATTTCATTAGAAACTACTTCATGATTCCATAGTATATTTTATGATATAGTATGATTTTGAGAATGTAGATTTGTCTTCATTTTCTTTCGCTTCACCTTTTTTTGCGACATTTCCACATGACTCAAGCCAACAACAAATCAAACTGTGCAGCGCTATTCACTTGACTGTACCTAGATGGGCTTTGGAGATATTGTGGGCCCAAATTAAGAAAAGGCTTTTATTTTCTAGAAATTCATTAAATTCAGTCCTTATTTTGACAAACCTGTGTTAGATATTAGAATTTACAATTTTTACAGATTAAAAAAGTGAATATGATTGACTAAGTATTTACTCATATGTTCTGTAGTAAACACTGACTCTGAGAGGACCCTTGGAGGAAGATACAATGCAGTTGCTGACTGATGCATTTTTCTGAAGTCATGAGCAGCTCATTCCTATCCCTGCTTTGTTTATTTAGGCACAGATCCTGCTCAGGAGAAAGTTCCTCTAAACTGAAGTGTGGCTCACTTTTGATTAATAGAGTACATGATTATGCTGGGTATGCAGCAGGCATTAACGAAAGAGAATTCTGGAAGAGAAAAAATGGGTGGGAAATGTTGCAAAGATACAGTTAACGTATTCATAATTAATCATATTAAACAGCCATTATAATCTGTCAAACTCAATAATAGATCAGCGGATTTACTTTTTTTTTTAACCTATCCAAAAAGATATAATAAACGGGTGGAACAGAGTGTTATGAAAACTTTGAGAGCCTTATGTGGCAAAATATTACATTATTGATACTCCGCTTACTTGGTCTGTTTTATTATTTAGCCTAGCACTTGGTCTTACATCAAGACAACATATAAATAATTAATTTGCCTCCACCTCATATTGTGATTCTAAAATGGAATGTATTTCTTGCTTCAATGGCCTGTCTGGTTAGGACTGCCTCAGGTTCTCAGATCTCCACCTATGAGTCCAATGTGATGTGTGTTGCCCTGTTGATATATATTGATTGTCCACCTCCAACCCCTTTTATCCAGCGGTGTTGAATATTGTAAACTGGACCAGGAAGCAGAAACAAAAGAGGGCTACAGCAAATAAAAAAGAGTTTCTAGCAAGTGAGAAAATATTAGCCCCAATTTTGTGGGTTACAACTGATGATTGTTAGGATAAGATCTGTATCCAAATTCTTTGCATGGGCATCCTTATTAGTGGCTGAATAATTATTCACCAGCCAGCTGGAGAGAACAAAAATCTCCCTGGATAGCAAGAACCAAGGACATGCCACAATACTGTCCACTCAAGCTGGTCTGGTCCTTAAACCTTCTCCCTGCCATGATCCATTGCTAGAGCCCCTATACTGGATTAACAGGTCACCCTCCCCCCCATCCTCATCATGGTTCTGGCCATATGCCCCAAATGCCATAAGAAATGGCCACAAGAATGGCTCAGCTCTCACCAAACCTACTGTTTCTACCATGCAATCTAGAAGTGACCCTTGGGTGACCTTCAGTCTCAAATCCTATCCAATGTACAAAAGATGCCATTAGTCTGAAAGACCTCCTCCTTCTTAGATAAGTGCTGCATATAATTTAGTCTGAGAGATCATGTGACACTGAACACTTAGTGATTTTAATATGCGATTGAGGACTTGAAGCTAAGTCTCCCAGTCCTAGTCTGGTGCTATATATTGGTTAACACTCATAGAATAATTATTTCCAGTGACTCAGATGCATAGATTAATTGAGTGAAGATACATTCCCTCAACAATCAGCTGTACTGTGCTGCTGATTTGCCTTTTCCCAGTCATCTTGAGTCATTTTGCCATCCCTATTTGAGCAATTGAGTTTTTAGTAAGCTTTGTTTGTATTATTGTAAAATCAAATCTTCTCCTATTAGAACATAATGATGATGAATGGCTTTGCACATAATTCCTAACAATGAAGGTGTTTAATGAGAGTTTTCCTGATCTGTGCAGGCTGGGCCAGTCAGCTGGGTCTAGCAATGCCAAGGGGATCAGCTTGGCTTTCATTGTCATCATTCTGTTCTGTCCAGAGGCTTTCTACATCAACTGGAACTGGCAAAGCAATCAGCTGTTTGGTTTTGAAAACAACTTAATGCATCACTATTCTGTGGATCTATATCCATATTGAGACAGATGTTCTTGGGTGTATACTGCTTGTTTCATGCCTTAAAGGCTAGCTTCAAACTGCCTTCTTATTAACTTATTTATTTAAAAGAAATAATGAAATGCTTTCTGTAAATCCAGTTTTATTTGTATTTCAGATGGTAACAATCTTTCAAGAGGAGCTTCATCAGGTAATTCTGTCTAATGAAATGTTGTTTGCACTTGTTTCTTTCATTTCTTTTACTTCAGTTGCAAAGTCCAACTTTCTGATATCCTAAGGGTTCGGGTTTCTGAGTATTGTTTCCAAATATTGATTGGATCTGAAGACCTTCTCTATTGTCATTTCAACCATCAATGCTGAGTGATTCCCACATCAAGCATATCTCATCACCATCCACAATTTAATAGACCCCATTCATGCAGTTCAGCAACAAAAGACCGAAAGTAAGAGTTTCCCTACACTTAGTATGAACAATTAGGCAGAGCTGCCCTCAGTGTTGTGGGTCACAAATCATATAAATCTTGCTTACTTGTTGAACTAATGAAAACATCCTCCATAAACTAATCTGAACAACCAGTCTCAATACAACTTCACTAATAATTTGCAATTAATTTATATACTGCAAATTATTCCATGAACGTTAACTACTATATAGCACAAGAGGACACATGGTACTTAACCTGAGATATATTTTGAACCTGGTTTGCTCATAACTCAAAGTTATAATGTATTTTTGGGCTCAGAGTTCTGGTTAGTTTACCCTCCATTTTGAACCATGGCTTATTGGCTTATGATCTATGATATATTGTCAACAGACTCTATTGTTATATCTTATTTCTAGTTCATTCTTTATTTGATTTTTGTGCTGTCCAGAATCTGGGTCCTGAAAGAAGAAGTGGAGAAAACAATAAACCAGCTGAACAAATTAACAAACCATAATAACATCTTGGCTTTATAGTATGTGTAAATGTAGCCTTTATCTCATGTTAAAATGAAGATGTAGTGATTCCAAGAGCATAAATACCGCAAGCTACTTTTATCTGAATAATCAAATAAAATCAAAAATAGTTGGATCATCTGCCTACACTCTTTGTTCTGAGTCATTTCTCCATATCCTTCTAATCCTTTAAACTACAAAGATCTGCTACATGGCTCAATTTTTCCAGTCACAATCCTCCTACCTTCAATTTCTCCTATCCCTGATTTATATAACAGTCTACTCAAATCTACACACTAAGAGTAGATGTCCTTCATGCAGCTGTATCCATTTTATCCCTCAAAAGTGCCACCAGAAGCTATTTGACATGGTATAGTCAAAAGCTATTTCTTCTCAGGCTAGGTACCCTGGCCTCATATCTCATCACACCATCGGTTGGAATTACAATGATGAATGAAATACCCACTCACTAGAGATGCTGTTTGATGGTTCACATGCTAGAAATAGCTTCATAAATTGCTTTTATTTAACTGTCTTTGCACATTTTCATTCAACCATATGTTTGCTCCCCTTTTGTGCATGTGCGAGGGATTCTTTCCTGCAATATTCTTCTAGGGAGTTTATTTTTATTTATTTATTCAATTTATATAGCCGCCCATCTCAAACCAGTGACTCTTGTTCTCTGTGTGTGAGCAAAGGGCACAATGACACAGGCAGAATCACTTTGATCTTCTCCATCTGTTTGAGACCATACCAACAAGACACTGATCAACTGGGAAGGGCACAATTGATTGGTTCCATATTCACAAACATACCCATTGTTACTGGATAAATTGCATTAACAAGGTTTTACACACTTTCTTGCATCCTGTTGAAACTTGCCTTTTCCACAAGACCTCCAGTAGCAATTTACTCAACAGAATCATAACAAAACATCAGTCCAATTAAACATGTCGGTAAAAGTTCACAGATTACATTTTCTTACCAAAAAATGCTGTCAGTTAATCAGAAAGAGCAAGTATAATTCTATGACAATCTAGCAGAAGATTTAGATGTGTGTGTGGTTTGTCACTGGATGTTTTCCTAGGCTATAATTTCAGCAGGTCCAGTTTCAAGGCCTGCAAATGGAATAGATCATATAATACTGTGACTGATTTCATTTCAGGGAATTTCCACGCATTCATCAGCTTCTCCTCACAAGTCCTTGGAAGCATATCTTTGCCACCTCACAAATACCCTTCACATTGTCATCCTTACAGTGCTCAGTCTTCCCTATGAGTCAACCAGTACCAATGCCAGAGCATTAAAAACCAGCTTCCAGCCAGTAACACCACCCATTCTTATGTTTACTTCATAGCGTTGGGGAAAAGGCCCACTTTCCCAGTTTAAAATGTCTGGTGAAAGTCTTAGGTGCCATAGGCTCTTAATTCAGGAAGGCAAGAGGAAAGTGGTGGGCTAGGAAATAGGATGAGATGAAAGTTCTTATGAGTGGGAAGCCACCTGTTTTGCAGCTCCAGCAAAATGCCACCAAAGTGTTATCTTGGCATTTCCGTCTGCACTGCAGCTGAGTTAGAAAGTAAGCTCAGTTACAGAAGAGCTGTAAAAGCCTGGCGCTGTGGTACAAACAGAATGGTGTATGGCCTGTCCTAAATTTGCACACATGCTGCATGTGGAAGAGTGTTTTACTCACTCAGTTCCAGTGAAGCCAAGATTAAAGTGTTTAAAAATGGGTTCAGCAGCACTTTCCACCATATGCAATCTGCCTTCTTAGTGCCAGTTACATTTATGAACTTATACATAATGACACTCGTGTTATTTTGTTTTTTCATTTAATTGCAGCTGATACTAACAGTAATATGAAGTTCTGAATTTTGAACATTTCATCATATAATATTTGTATATGTGGTGTTAATAGCTTAATTAATGGTATTTTCTAAATAGTATTTATTAGCATTTCCATTGTTGATAATTGCAAGTAAAGCCATATTGTTACAGATTTCTCTGAAGAATTGTTAGCTAATATTTTGCATAATGACAATGTGTATTTTAAACATACATAGTTTTTCAAATTAAGGACTGGACTAGGGTCAGCTCAGCCAGAGGACCCTACTTTTCAATGTACAAGATTACAGGATTAGTCCTTAGCAACTCCAGTTAAAAAGAGCAGATGTGAAAGAAGCAGGGATGTGCCAAGTGTATCATTGTGAGATGGAATGTTCTGGAAAACACCAGAATGTTCTGTTTCCTTCTGGTCCATACCAATAGATGTTTCAGCACTTTTCCAAGAAAACAGGGCCAAATCATATCCACTATACCATGATACCAATCTCCCATTGCAGATTTACTACCTCCAAAATGGGCAGATTGGTAAGGTTTGAAATAAAACTATATAGAATGTTCTGATGTTTCCTGAAAAGGGTCCTCTATATTTTCATTTGAACTTTTTTTCAGATGAGAATTATGCATTTATTGTATGAAGTAGACTCAGGCTATCTTTCAGCGGACACCTTTCTTTTCTGTACAGTGTCCAAGTATAGTGGTTTTATCAACATACAGTATTTGGTTCCCCAGAGCATGAAAAGCTCCAGTTTATTGCAAGCAGCAGACAGTTGTCAACTCTTTTAAAGTTTGGGAGAGAGGACCCCACAGACTCCTGAGTATTACTTATTGGACCTATACATTATAAACCACATTCTGTAGGAGCTTAGTTTGCCTAGTTGTTTAATTATATGTACCGTACAGGCCAACCTATAATAAAAGTTTTCTGAATAGGTTATAAATAAAAAGATATTAACTTAAAATAATTGCAGTAAAGATGCAATCCTTTGCAAAAAATATTGCAGCAAATGAATAAAAAATATGTTCCTCTTTACTCCCCATCTTGCAAACACCAAGAAGATTTGTCTGCAGTTTTATCATTTTCTGAAGTGTTGAACATATCCAGCTGAGAAGCAGATATTAACAGAGTTCTTTTTGGGCATGTTTCATATTTTATTATTTGAATAACAGGGGAGGTATTCATCTCCACTTACTGTATAGGGATAACACAGGAGGGAATAACAGAAGAAGCAAACAGAAGAGAATAATTCCCTTGATTTCCTGAAATATACCTTGTTCTAAATAAATTTATGAGAATTGTTTTCCTAAATACGTTTATGAGAATTTGTTTCTTCTGATTTATGGAGATACCTGTTCTTCCAAGTCAATTTTACCAAATTCAGACACAAATTCTTTTTTCATGCAGGATTGCAACACTGCAAATGCTATGCTAAGTTACCAAGGAAATACCTGCAAAACACATACGATGCTCTGGTAACAGAAAATAGCAAGTATTATAAATAGCCTCTGAAAATCACCAACGGATGAAGATTCAACAAAGTCTTTGTATCCACTGTGGCCAGCCAGATGCTTCCTTGTACCCTTCTAAATGTTCCTGAACTACAGCTCCCAGCATCTCTCACCATTTGCTATGTCTGAGCACTATTCCTGTTCCATGGAAGGTGCTGTCTATCTCTTTACATTCCAGCAAATGGTATTAAGAGTCACACTCTTTGTGAATCTGAAAATGCCATTTAGCCCTAATGGCTATCAACCCCTTTCATCCAAATTATCAAAGCCAGAATCATTGGCTAACTGAAGGCAGAAAAAAAAAAAATAATACCTCTAAAATAAATATGAGGAAAAAAACCCAGGAAATTAAAAGGGTAACTAAATGCTGTTCAGTATAAGGCTGTTTTTGCTGTTCCTTGATCAATCAGTGGGAATTGCTTCCAAGTAAAAGCTTTCCCGCTGCCTCTTTTTCACACACACACAAACACATAGACTCCAGTTACATGCAAGACTATCTTTGCAGTCTATGTTCTGTCTACTTCATTTCCAGCAAAATGAAATACACTTCATGTTGTATGAAGAGCCAGGACGTCAATCCAATTGCTGATTGTCAGTACAGCAGACATGAACCACTTGTTAAAAAATAGCTCCATTAAAATAAAACAGGGAACTGAAAGTTTGGGACAATTTATGTCTTGCTTTAAAAAAAACTGGCAAAGAAAAAAAAATCTGTTGCTGCTGCTGTTGTTTTATTTCATGCCTGAAAATATTAGCAATAAGTGAAGCTCTCCAAGCATATCCTTTCCAGCTGAATTAAGAGACAACTAGATCAGCGACACACTCTAACATGGCTGTTTTAAACCAGTGAAGCAGAAAATACCATCTGCTCCACCATGAATATTTCTAAAATAGAACAAGAGTGTGTGGAGGAGATGTCTACTTTTTCCTTGCAAGAATGTGAGGGAATGATCCTGTTTTATGGGGAAGACGTTGTGATGAGACATAATAGTTCAAGCATCAATGTCATTAGCTTGCACAGGGGATAAACAGACTGCTTTTTAACTTGGTTTCAAAGGCATTATAAAAGCTATAGAATATTTTAGTATATTTGACTCATTTTTACATACAGCTAGTTTTGGTAAACATCCATTGTTGCTATTAAGTAACATCTTTCAGATTGGCTTTGCAGATGCATGTGATTGGATTGAAAGGTATAGAACAAAAAAAGTGTTCTTAACAACTGTTAACTACAGAATATTTATTTTATTTAGTGTTGGAGGGAGAGAGGTATATAGACTTTAGCCCTCTTCTGCAATTCAAAACTTTTAACAATAGGGAAGGAGGGAAAGAGAGAATACTTATCCCCATACTTGTCATCCTTCTTGTCTTCAGGGGAAACTTCTGAAGTACTGTAGAGAACCTCTTCTATCTAATAAGGCATCTTGGGCAAGTAAACCCTGGAAAACTTACTCTGGGGTTCTAATTCTTTGTGGGGAGTTGATCACCAAGTATGTGAAACTGTGTGTCTTCAACAGCTTGGGATGGGTGAATTCCTAAATTGTGTCACTTTCATCCTTAAATTGTTACATTTCTAGATTAGTCTGCGTTTTTTGAAAAATGGCGTGAAAATTTCTTTTAGACATACATATACATCCATGCATATTTCTATGTCATCATATTAAATGTTAATTTGGATCTAAAACAATCTTCACCAGCCTGGAGCCCTGCCAATGTGCTAGGATTACAACTTAACAGACTTCCTTACAAGCAAGTTCTAGGAGTTATGGATCCAACGTATCTGGAAGATTCCAGGTTTAGGAAGGCTATGGTATCAGTGGATTAACAGATCTCAAGATAGACTACAATTAACAAAACAAACCACCATAAATCATAAAACATCAAACTGTTGCAATCCTTCAAACTAACATTAATAGCTACACCAATAAACCAACAAACAAAAGTTCATTAAGTTGCAGTCAATAAAACCCTTGACTAAAGGCTTGCTCTAAGCTTAACATCAAAATAAAAGCTACCTAACTCTAAGTTTAACATCAAAATAAAACCAATGTTAAGTGCCAGCTAAGCTTCCAGATGGAGAATATTCCATAAGTTGGTATCACAGTGCATATTTAACATAGATTTTTCCCTTCCAAAATGTATATTTATAGGCGTGTTTCCTCTCACACACATATTTTAAAATATATTATTAAATCTTGTTTAAGCTGAGAACTATTAAGAATGTTCAGAAGTGTGAAGTCAAATATATAACTAAGTTTCAGTTGATATGTTGTTCCAGGACATGCAGTAAGTTTGTGCTGGAAGCCAATTTGGATTGGAATTCACAAGGATCAATTTTTCAAGCATTGCTATCTTTGGCAATTTCTTCTCCCCTCTATCCTCCCAAATCACTCATGCACACATCGGGTCCTTTCGTCAGAGAGGGCAGAAGTCCATAAGGGATTGACTGTCATCAGATGGACTCTTCTTTGGCTGGATGAGTCCATGGAACTAGGAGCGAAGAGCATTCAGGCAGCAGAACTGGAGAGCAATGGAGCCTTCCAGGCATATTGTTTTGGTAAACCTTGGCAAGGCAACCTGAAACCTTGGAGATACACAACTAATGTAATAACTTTGGGGATATAGTGGCAAGTAGCCATGATCCACTTCCCCCTCTTATTACTTAATATGCAGATGGTAGTGCCTAGAAATTTCTTAAACATTGCTCATACCAGGTTTCATTGAGATAAAATAGTAACATCTAATTTATACATTGCGTTTAAATCTAGGGAAAATGCACATGCTGTAAGTCTTTTGGATTTTGCTATTAAAGAGCAAACCACTTTTCCTGAATTAACTATTCTAAAGTGTTTCAAATAGAAGGCATAATGTTTCAAAACAGTTCCATTGTACTCTTGAATCAAAATGTCAGCAGACAACTAAAGATAGGTTCAAAATTAAAAGAATTGATGAATATAAACCAAATAAACAATAGAGTTCTCTTTTTTCAACCTCTGAAAAGGTGATTTCTTCTGAATAACTGATAATTTTGGGATTCTTTCTTCAATGTTTCAGAAATATTATATGAGCCATAGACTACACAGTAGTAGTAGACACAGTGGCCATGAAAACCTTCAAAATGAAAAATCTATAGAGGTAGTCATTTTTAAAATAAACACAAGGTTTCAAATGTATTTAAAAAATCTTCCATTAACATTTATTTTAAAAATCTTCCACTAAAAATCAGAGAAAAGGGGGGAACTGTGACTGAAACTGCAAGCCACAAGGATAGTTTTTCCCCATGAATCAAAGTTGCTACATTCTGCAGTTCATACTATCTGAACTAGTATCAGTCCTCAGTGTTTTTCTCAAGAAACAGGTAATGTTTTAGACACATACTTGGGACAGGTGACAGGAGAAATTGGAAAGGGGTGCCTGCCTTGATTCTGGTTAACCCCTTTAATTGCTAGCATTCCCTAATGTGTGAGCTCCCAAATTTATGCTCTTCTCCATCTCAAAACTGGAATGAGGGATGTCCATTTCCTGTTTAGGAATGTGAGGACTGCAATCGCTGTCCCAGTGCCCCAAACACTCTAAAAGCAGCATTTTACCTTCAAATTTGAAGCATAGTGCAGCCCTAGAATCATGTACTGAATCATTTCTTTCTGGCCATTATTAACAGAATAGCATGGGTGTTTTGCTAGTAAACAAAGGACATTACATGAGAGAACAAGGATTTTGCCACAGCTCATGATCTCATATTTAGCTGATAGTAATTTTTTTTTTTAATCTGATCTTTCCTACTTAGGCAAACTTTTTGGATTCAGGCTACCTGGGTTAAGTCTTTTATCCTATAGAAAGCAATCTTTGCCACAAGAGGATCCTGATGCAGTGATTGTTGATTCATCAAAACACAGTGACAACTCCATGGCCATGAAGCACTTTAAATCTCCTACAAAAGAAAGCTGCAGCCCCTCTGAAGGAGATGACACCAAGGCACTCATTCAACCAAGGACGTGTTCACCTCCAGTGAATATATCTGGGCCTCTAGATCATTCATCACCAAAACAGCAATGGGATCGGCTGTACCCGGATATGCTACATTCCAGTGCAGCGTTGACTCATGCTCAGTCAAAAGAGAGCATTAGTAGTATACGGAGAGCATCGTCAGTGCACAACATAGAAGGATTTACCATCCATCCCAAGAATATGTTTAGGGATCGGCATGCTAGTGAAGGTACAGTATTGAGTGGGCGGAGGGTGATCAATATTCATAAATGATGGCAACCAACTGAATGGTTTGTTACAAATTGTGGCTGGCATTATAATGCAGCTCAATGCACAATGCATTGTACAATGTGCTTACATGGGAATATCTGGATTTCAGCTCTAGAGGTGGAGCTACTTCAAACCAACTCAGCAGCACAGTATACGTTCAACAATTGCACTAGCTTAGGAGATATTTTTAAGAAATCAAGCCACTGAGGCAGCATCTAGCAGATGGAATGGATCAGAATAACCATTATAATAACCACCTTTCTAGGCGGGAAGAAAGGGAAATGAAGGGAAGAGTGAAGGGACAATTGGTTTCAGATGTGTTGGCTTCCCCACCCATCCTCTCCCCTTGCCTCTAATATAGCTCGAAAGTCCAAAGTAAAACTGAATATTAGAATTATCATTTGTAGCTTTACAATTCCAACGCATTATGATATAGGCTGGGAATAGAATGATCTCATATTTAGCTGATAGTAATTTTTTTTTTAATCTGATCTAGAATGGGGCACATCTATTCCATCTTTTCCCAATAGGCCTGTTTCAAAATCCCTTCCATTTAATCCTCAGCAAGGTCTCTGAAGTCTCTTTGTCTTTTTTTTTTAAGAACTAAGGGGAAAGTCCAGTAGGGAAGACATTAAGCACTCTGCGGTTTGTAATTTGTGATCCTATGCAAAGGGAAGCTTATTTCAGAGTCAGGATGCTTCTTTTTGTGTTATAAGTTTATGCATGTTAATTTGAGAGTAAGTCTAGCTTTGGCTAATAAGGGTTCCCTCATTATTTGGACAGCAGTTTATTTTGAAAGGGTACTAATACAAGGGTGTATCAGACTGCAGTGGCAACTTTCACCTTCAGAAGGTCTTCACCCAGACCAAGCACCCAGGAGGAAAGCCTCCGCCAAAAACATGCTTCATTCATTCATTCATTCATTCATTCATTCATTCATTCATTCATTCATTCAATTTAGGCACTACCTGATTCCAGACTGACTCAGAGAGGGGGGTGGTGTCACAATAGAAGGCAATATAAAAATAACCACCTAATAAAACAGTAAACAGAAGGTGCATGTGGATGTGATCAACACATAAAACAAATATCATGCACCCGGCCTAGCCCAGAACCTGAGAGAACAGCCAGATCTTTAAGGCCCTCTGGAATGTCATTGGGGTGGGAGCCACCAAGATTTCAGGGGAAATCACATTCCAGAGGGCAGGTGCCGTGATACAGAAGGTGTGCTTCCTGGGTCCCAAAAGATGACACTGTTTTAACTGAAGGGACTTGCAACCCACCCACCCTGTCAGTCCAAATCAGCAATGTACATGCATGTTGTTTCAAAAGGAAGATGTTCCTTGTTTCACAAATGTAGCCCCTGTTCTTCTGTAATGCAGTTGATCAGTTATAATGCATATTTGATTAACTGATCAATCCCTTCCAGATAATCCTCAGCAAGGTCTTTGAAGTCTCTTTGCCTTTTTTTAAGAACTAAGGGGAAAGTCCAGTAGGAAAGACATTAAGCACTATGTGGTGTATAATTTGTGATCAACCACATTACATAACTGATTAATCCAAGAAAACTGTTTAATCAATTAAAATTTCTTAAGTCAAATTATCCTCCTGGGATAACAGTCCCTCCTGGGATACACTGCGTCTATTTAAATGGCTGTTCCAGCTAATTTGAAAATGCTTTGAGGACTCTGGGAAATGCTGAAGATGACCTTTGGTTCCTAACTCTGAAAAGAGAAAATTAGGCTCTTATTCATTACATTTGCTGGTTCACCCAAATAAATGTTGGTCCCTTCAAGATGCATTGGGGAACCATTGAAGAAAAAATAATCAGTTTTGAGTCTTTGCATATAGAGTTTATTTTCCCCCCTTCTGCTTTTCTTTATCCTGCTGAATATCAGACAATGGTCGCAATGTCAAAGGTAATGTAAATTTGTAACATCTATTGTCCAGTGCTTTTGAGAGATACATTATTTGGCATGTTAATTTGCCTGCTGTATAAACTGTACAAATGCATCATATTCATGCTAACCTTTATGGAGCTGGGCACATTACAGGAATTACTGTTCTTTTGCTTGTTGGATGTATCACAATTCTCTTTGCTCTCAATTGAGAGCAATGATAGATGGCCATTCAGAGGAAGCTGTGAAGGCACGTATGTTCTTTTCAAAGCCACTGCCCTTGCTTAGTTATAATGCAGTCCTCTACTTTCCTATCCAGAAGAAAGCGCCCATCATTTCTCTGGGGCTTATTCCTTATTCCTTATTCTACTCTAGCAATACACTCTTCTAAGCCCCTTTGTTTTGAATGGGAGAGTTAAGCATGTGCTTAATTCTGTCCCATCAAAACCCCAGGGGAGTTTAAAAGTTTTGAACTTTGGCTGGATTGTACCCATGTATGTTAGTTGAAGAAGGCAGAATATGGATGCTACCATTCCTATGCAGATAATATAACTGCTGAAGTTTTCAAGATACGCTCTTAGAAAAAGTATTACAAATTGGGCTTTGAATGATTGAAACTACCCACCATTGATTCATTTTAAAGCCAATTCAGTTTTATCTTTCTGACACCAAGATAATCAGTGAATAATCTGGACCCTTCACGTATTCCTCTTTTGTCTCCTTAAAACTAGTTTCACGCTCCTGGATGGCAGGGGGTATGGTTTAAGCTTACTGTAGTCTTCAGGTGTGCCTGCATGAATTCCATTTGCAATTTCATATGGAAACATTCTTATTCATATATATTACATGCTAGAATTGGTCCTTTTCACCAGGACAACGCAAACAAAGTCAGCCAAATAGAGGCACTCCTTTCTCTATCTAACTTCTAGAATCCTTTCTGCAGGGTTTTTTTCCCCCCTATAGTAAACTTAACACTTGTGTTTATAGCCTAAATTTGGTAGGGGAGGCAGGATGGAGGAGGGATTTGCTCCTTTGCTCCTCTTCAAGATGTCACATAAATTGTAGAAAAATGTACTTGGTGAAATGTCCCCATCAAACCTGCATGGTGTGCATGTGCTAGTGCCCACAAGTGACCCATCGCTAAGAAGTCCTCCCATGTGCTTCTTGTCTCCATCATCAGTGGTTTTGATATTGTATGGTGCCATTTTGTAAGTGAAATCCTGTCTGTAAATGAAATTGCTGCTGGCTTGAAGTACTCAAGAGTCTGCCTATTTCTGGATTTATTGTCAATAACATCTATACCTCATAAAATGTTCTACAGTTTATAAAATATAGATCCACATCAGTATTCCATAGCCTTTAAGGCCCATTTTAAGATTCTCAGAGGGAACTGAACATATTTCTGGAAGAAGCCTATTCCATAAGAATGGGCCCACCACAAAGAAAAATTCTATCTCTTATGCCTGCCAGCCTAGCAGCTCTTATGGACAAGCTCTTGAAAAGGGCCAACCGAGCTGATCCTAGAAGCCAGGTAATTGCTACTTGCTTCAAGTAGCAGGTAAGATTTAAATCTATGTGAATAGAGAACCTAAGAAAGGCAGGTAGACCAGAGCATTAACTTGCACTGCTCTTCCTTGATTGAAAGCACAGATGGAAAACAAATATCCATGGCACAAAAGACACCCAGGATTACCCAGGATTGGACTCTATCTTGATCAGTCTTGTATTCAGGAGCCCAACTGCTGATGAAATTAAAGAGTGCTCTTTGGCTTTTCTCCCTGATTTGGACATTTAGCTATTCAGGAAGTATTTATTTATGGGATACATTTGTGGTCCATCTTTCTTCTACTGTCACAACAACTCTCGGAGGCTGGGAGAAGCTGGCAGAAGGTAATATGCTCAAGGTCATTCTCAGCATCCTTTTTCAGTCTTAGGCCAGCCTTTCTGCCTGCCTGAGGGCACCAGAAGACAATGCTGGCGATGTGACATCAGAGCAGGTGGGCCTGAAATTTTTGGATCCTTTTTAGTGGGTTGGGAGAGGTAATTAAATAACACCTAATTTGCCCCTTCAGCACACACATACACACCATAAATGGGAGCAACGAGCTATTTGGGGGGTGTTGGGGGCTGTAGAATATAATGGAGCCTCAAAACTGCAAATCTCGTAAGGTATTCATTTCATTTGCTTTCCCAACCCCAAAATGCAAAATACTGCCCACCCTGGGTAATCTACAGGCTGCAAATTTGGTGTTGGGAGGCTGCATACAGGCCAGGAGTTGCTCAGCCCTGTTCTAGATTTTCATGGTCCAAGTCCAGTATTCTATCCAGCCTATCACATTAGTTGTAACAGGTGCTGTACATTTTACCTATATGGCAATGGAGGTCTGGTTCCATTGTTATCATGACAAGATCTGGTTAGTACTTAACAAATTGTACTGTACATTAATCTTTTTAACTTTTTAACATTAAATGGGAGCATAGAACAGTTTAACCTGGATATCATTAGTCATGCAATAATGGGGACCCTTACTGGACTACATGAAACATCCATGTCATCCAACATCCTGTTGTCCACAGAGGTAATCCAAGGGTCTTAAAAAATCCGAGACCGGAATGTTTTTTTCTTGTTGCTCTCCCAGCATATGGTATTTACGAGTATACTGCCTTTGAATCTGGAGTTCCCATATAGCCATAATAACCAGCAGTCACACCCCATGAGAGTGGTCTACCTGCACATAGATTTCTTCTAAACTCATAATTTAAAACGTTCATGTGTTCCAGACTTCAGAAGGCCATAGTTCTCAATCTAGCCTGAAACAGTTAAACTCTTTCAGAGCAAAGTTTATCTGGATGAAATCCAAGATATTACTCCACCAATGGATTTCTGCTTCCACTTGTGTTCACTCAGGTATCCCAGAAATCTGTTTTGGAAAGTTAAAAACATTGAAGAAATAGATTCCTGCTTTCTCTATAACTTTTCTACCTTCAAATTTTTCTCTAATTTAAGGACCCTACAAGGATTTGATGAATACTGAAGCATTTAAGGTAGTAGAAAGGATGAGAAGTCCTGATTCAAGAGTGTATGTGCAGTGGACTCCCCTATAGTGACTTATTTGTTGCTTTCTAGCATTATATTCTGCTCTTCTTCCGCAATTTAAGTGTTGGCAGATTCTAAACTAGAAAGTTAACAAATTTGGTTGAAAAACAAAAAAGACAGTAAAGGTATCGACTTTTTTAAGTACCTAGAAAGTGGGTCAAGATGGATCTCTTCTTTTTTTTTCTTGTAGGTCCTTTTAACCATATCAAGTCAAGTCTATTAGGATCTACATCTGATTCAAACCTCAACAAATACAGCACCATCAATAAGATTCCCCAGCTCACTCTGAACTTTTCTGATGTCAAAAATGAAAAAAAAACATCATCACCTCCATCATCAGAGAAAACAATTATTGCACCCAAAGTGAAAGATAGAACACACAACGTCACTGAGAAGGTTACACAGGTGGGAGATTTTTAATAATATGTAATTTTGTCTCTTTAGCATGTAAATATAATTACTTTAAATAGTAGCATTAATTTGTACTATATTGCATGTATCCTCAGGTATGTTATATATTATACTATATTTCTAAAAGTATCATTCAGAAAGGAAAGATTACACTGTAAATCTCAATCTTTGATTGCTATGAAATGTCACAGAATTCAGACACTATCAAGACATCTCTGAATATTTTTGAGAAACTAAATTTTTATCAATCAACAGTAAACAGCAAAGGATATCAAGATCTGACCTCATGTCTCATAAATGAATAATTTTTATCTTTTGTCTTTTGCAATTTTTATCAGGCATATATGAAATATTGATAGAGTCAATTTGGTCTAGTGGTTAAGGCTCCAGGTTAATCCTGCCTTAGGCATGAACTTTGGGCCAATCAATGGGTGACTTTGGGCCAATCATTCTCTCTCAGCCCACAACATCAGGGTCGGGCGACAAGCTGGTCAGTCAATTCCTGTCACAACCAATGGATAACATTCGGTTGATCTGGAAAAAAAAAAAGCGGAACCTGCATCTGCGGGGAAAAACACTAGGAAGAAATATATATTTTAGGTCAACAGTAGCTAAATTCATTAGCTGCAGCCAAGTTAGTTCTCAATCAGCAGGACAGAGAAGTATTGCCTAGCAAACAGGTAGAGTGTTCGTGATCCAAATACTGTAATTTTATATACAAATAGATGATGGTCTTCAGAAGCCCATTTGATAACATAAACATCCCTTGGGTATCTTCTTGTGTTGTCCTAACATGGGAACTTTTCAAATCAAAAGTCTTTTTTTTTTATCCTGGTATAGTGGGAAAACTGCAAAACAATGGTTCAGGGACCAGGTTTAGTTCACTTTGGTTAAATCTGCAATTGTTTGAATTATGTGGCATTTAATCTAATAGCCTTTAGAAAAGCCTCTCCCAATCTGATGGCCTCCAGATGAAAGGAAAGAAGGAATAGTTGTCTTAGGACAATTATTGTTTGCAGGAGTTGATGGTACAGGTTCCAGTCACAAGTATCTGTCCAATAAGAGAGTGTGCAGGGGATGATGCCAATTCTCTTCCAAGTTCAACTAGTTCACACCTATAGGGACCACAAGGTCAAAGTAAGAGGCATATTAACATCACAATATGAAGGTCAAGTTGTTTGAGGCAGGTGAGAGCAAGATGTGAAGCTCATTGTGGGTGAGTTGAATACTGTTTCTAGCAATCTCTCCATTTTGTGTGCCAAAATTGGAGAAGTGCAGGAGAGCTGCATAATAGGGAGGGCAAGACTGTATATTCAAAATTCATCATAGCAGGTCTTCCATACATCTCCTGTGTTGAAGCATACAAGCTCCTCATAAATTCAATTTGGTGAACATCTTGGCATTACATAGACAGTCCATGAGATTTGAGATTAGTGGCAATGGGTACCAGTTTCAAATTGTGATCTAGTTGAAGGCTCTATAACAGTTACAGACTTGCTGTTCTTCAGACTTTTTCTTAAAAAAAACATAACTAGTGCAACCACTAGAGTGTCAAATAAAGCCTCTTTTCAAATTCTCATCCAGATATTAACTCAGGCTCTGATAGGAAATACAATCTCCCTGCAGGTATTGCCAGGCTACAAATTAGGCTCACATAGTCATAGGGTTGGCAACTTGATCATTATCCTGTTCTCTAAAGACATAACTAAAGTCATGCTATTTAACTCACAGGGTTGTTTTGACCTATGAAGACTTCTGATTCTTGGCTATGAGTTGATTGATTTCTGTAATGGGGCTTTCCATCCTGGGAGGCACCAGAATTTGCTATTATTTTTCATTTTCCAAAGTAGTTTACTGCCACCTGTGGCAGCATCAGCATTTCTTTGTAGGATGAGGCTGTTCATGCTGTCAAGGCCACCATTAGGTTGCAGCCATGACTTTAGTATCTTCAAAAGGAGAGTTATTTTCCCTTCCGACCATAACGTAGTGGGGTTTATGTTTTGCAACTGAAATAGACAATGGATTACTGGATTGGAGCAATCTGATTTTGTAAGTCTATTTGCTCCTTTTGATATCCAACTTTAAGATGTGTCAACTTCAACTCCCAGAATTCCTCAGAATCCTGGGGAATTCTGGGAGTTGTTCCAGACATCTTAAAGTTGCCAAGGTTGAGAGACACTGGGTTGGTCACTGTCTTCACTTGACCTTGATGAGCTTTGACAACCCCGCATTCATAACTATGCAAAGTCATGGGGATTACTTAATGGGAATTGGAGAATGCTCATCATAGCAGAGCAGGCAGAGAGAACTTGGGACAAGCATAGAAAGGGAATGTGTGGTTGCTTATTCCTTACATATACCACACCTACAGAGCCTCAGGGATTCTATTTCCCAACTGGGGATGTGGTTGTTCCATTTCTGGGCAAGGAAAAGCAAAATGTCTAGAGGCTCTGCAATACAAACACAGCCCCCATCCAGCAGCACAGTGATTTTTGTCCCACAGGTAAGCATCTTCTAGCACAACTTATACATGGCTTGGGGCCAGGTTATTTGAAGGACCACCTTTCCCAGTTTCATCTGCCCAACCCACCAGATCGGGGAGGCAGGGTATGTTATGGGTCTACCCTATTAAGGAGGTCCATCTAGTGGGACCAAGAAGAAGGACCTTCTCTGTGGTGGCTCCCTCCCTGTGGAACATCATCCCTGCAGAGATAAGATTGGCCCCCACCTTGATGCTTTTCCTCAAGGCCCTGAAGTCATGGTTTTGCCAGTGGGCCTGGGAATCCCAGGTCGACCCGGGGCCCATCAAATGGCTAGTGTAAGTGTACTGTTGTCACCAGTGGGGTGGGGGGTGGAGTGGATTTTGTATTTGGGGTTTTTATTCCTGTAAGCTGTCTGGAGTCACTGTGAGTGAATTGGGCGGCCATATAAATTGCTTAAATAAATAAATTAAATAATTTAATTGCGTGGGTTCCTTAGGAGAGCCTTTGACACTGCAAATATGGATATCAGTGCTCTACCCTTTCCCAAAGGGAAGGACCTTTGTGGGGATTTGCACTGCCCCTATGGGCACCAAACTTTTAAGCGGGGCTTGATCTAAAGCCAAAGTTGAATCAGTTCCTGAAAAGTACAGAGAGCACAATTCATCCAGCATCTTGTCCTCTAGTTCCTGCTGGTAGTGTTCCATCAGTATGAGCTTGTTCTAATTTAAAACCCAAGCAAGGACGTGGAAGTATTGGTGTTAACTGCTGCTCATTCAATAAACTTTGTTAGGGTCATTCAATCCAAGAAAGAAGAAAGAGAACAAATTCTGAGAAAGCAAATAAATAATTATAAATTTGATGTGGATCAAGCATTATATACATATACGTGTATATATACATATACATATACATTTTATTTGGCTTAAACATCATGTTAATTTGAAAGAAGAGGAGTGACTAACCAGGAACACATCTTAAGGAGGGCCAGCCAGATCTAATTTGGCTTTTCAAATCTGTGACACTCTGTTTAAGGGCTTTAGCTGCACAGTCATATCCCATCATCAGAACTGCATCAGGAGAAACTAATGTTTCAGTTTCTCATGCAGTGTCCTATTTTAGGATGAAACAAACACATCAGTTGGAAACAGAGAAGGGCAAGCCCATGGAGGAAAAAAGCTTTAGTCATTATCAGAGGAAGTAAGTCCAAATATGAGTCTAGGTTTTGGTCATGGCAAGATTGCATGGCACAAAATTATGTTAGGAGCATATTATGGAACTTGACATATGTTCCTTAAGAATTTGTATTTTACCTTCTCCAGAGGGATGAAGGAGTTATACCTTCCCAGTTGAGCTCCAAACACGATTTGGGTCCAGACTCTAGCTAAATATACTTTTAGTGCAGCAGGTATGAATAATGCACCTCTAGAATAATATAAAGTTTATAGGGCTGTTACTGATTTTTGTGCCTGTGAACAACATTCACTTGATGTGCCTTATGTTTACTGGTGGCATGAAACACTATCCCTAAACACTTGAACATTTTAACTTGTTTAGTCAGGTGCCCATTCAGTCACGAAGCATGAATGTTAGGGTGCATAGCAAAAACTAGGACTTTTGTTTTTGTATAGTTAGTTTTGAGCAAATATGTGGCTAAGGCACAAAGGATCACTTGTTGTCTGAGACAGCATCATCTGCAAACAGAAGAATGGGAATGTGTCTATTGTTCAATTTCAGAGGATGATGAGTTCAATCATTCATCTTGGGCAGTAGCAAATTGATATGCAAATTAAACAGTAATGGCACCAATGCATCCCTGCCTTACTTCTCTATCAATAGGAATTTCCTTGGTGTAATGGCTCTGCATACTACACCTAATCTTTAAACTAGACTTCTCCTAGAGTTTATATGTAAGCAAGAGTAGGCACCCATCTTTGGTAGAATTCTTAGGTTTACATCGTAATTCATTTCTAGAAATAAGGTCAGAAGCAAATCTGAAACCAATAACATTTACGTATAGCAAAGATCCTGGCCTAAAAGGTTTTTTTTTTTTTTTTTACATACTTTACTGCAGAACAAAAGTATGGTCTAAAATAAATTGTCCAGGTCTGAAGCCTGCTTGGTCTGAAGCCAGAATGTTTCCTAATTCAATCCAGTCTAAGAATTTATTATATAGATGACTAGCATATAATTTGCTTATTATGGAAAGGAAGCTAATGGGCTGATAATTAGCAGGCAAATCCCAGTTGCCTTTTTTGTAGTTAAGAATTATCAGAGCTAAACCCCACTCCTCACTCCTTTGGAATCAGTAGACACAAGACCCCACTACTGTCCTGGGTTTTGGCAGAGGCACTAGATCTTCCAGGTAGTAAACTCTTCCTTCAGAGAGTCTTCATATCGCACTCTGACTTTTGCCACAAACCCCACATAGTTCTCCAGAAAAGGAATGCTCCAGAAGAGAGACATGGCCCACTGTTCAGATGTTCTAGTAAGCAAACTAATAAAGAATCTCAC